TGTACATATTAAAATGTTTTAATTTTCACTCACAAATTTATTTTATTCTGTCGTTTCACAAACTGAGTTTATGTAAGCGTTATCTAGAACAGTATTTCTCGTATTCTCTGTTTTATTTTATGGCAATATATTGCGGGACTGCGGTAAATTGTAGACAATAGTCCACATGTCCAGTTTATGTTCCATATTTGCTATTTAAGTGAATCTAATTCTTCCATTGGTAATCGTATTTATTCTTAATTATAGTTTTCTTTATGAAGGACTAGTTTTTACCCACGACCGTCTGTCACGTTGTCCGTGACACCAAGATATGTATATTGTTTGGGATAAAGAATAATCTATGTCCTTATCCGTCCCAAATAGTATCTGTATTAGGTACTAAATTTCTTGACTATTGTTTAAGGTTCTTACGCTTTACTTTCACATTTATATTTAAATACTCTTTAAGAAGAAAGAATAATTTTATGACAAAAACAATTACATTGTCATAGGTGTTAAATACATGTTTAGAAGTCTTCGTACATTTAATATTTGTTTATTTCTAAATAAAAATTACTTATTACCAAATAAAATATGTTTCAAATAATACATTTTATTATGATACTTTTTAGATTGAATATATAAAATTACAGATAAATATTATTACATCCACTAAAAATGTTAAATCACTCAAACAGAATTTTGGTAAATGCTGTTTAGATAACTAGTGTTTTATTCTTGTAGTTAGACCGTAAACTTGAGAATGTTCAGGTATTTAACTTTTATTGCCTATTTCAGATGTTAGTAATTCGAATACATTCATTCCTTTTGATGCAGTAAGAATAGAAATGTAATTGCATTCTTAATCGTAAACAGCATGTCGAGTTGAAAATATCTGTTTTCTGTATCATTATTTTGTTCCATAAATTAGAAAAATCTGTCTCGCTTTTAAGTGACTTCAAAAGGAGTTTCAGAATTCACCTATTTATGGTTATGGTGTGTTACGCGTTCTCTTTTCAAATTCTGTACCGCTTTAAATAATTCATTCTGAATTCGATACGGTTTTACTCCCACGTTGATCCCATGTTAATTTTATCACGATAAAAGCAGTTGTTATATTGGGAGGCAAAATTTTGTCGGTCGGGATGTTTGTGTTGTTTATAAATGTACAAACTTATTAAATTATTTTTAGACATCCCAATTTTCACAGTTCTGGAAACTTTCGTTAAGAGATTTTTTTTTTCTATGTAATAAATTTATGTAGTCATTTTGTAACTTTGCGATATCATTCAATCAAATAAATGAAATACATAATGTTTACTAATATTATGTGAAAGTGAGTTTGGTTGTTTACCTCATAGCGTCTTAAAGACTTAACCAATTACTATATACTTGAAATTTGCTGCGTACGTATTATATAGGTAAGAAAAAGATATAGGCAAATTTTTATCCCGGTCAATATACATACCTCGGTCACGCGGACGAAGTCACGAGTAAAAGCTAGTAGTATATACTCGTAGCAAGTGAGCTTGTATGAGTGTGTGTGATGTTTATCACCAGATCCTCAACCGTGGATACAACAATAGATACCGTGTTATTTTTTTTGATAATCGTTTAAACGAAATGTCCTTTATTGGTACAATTTACAAATAAATTCACTTGTTTTTTTTATATATATATATACTCGTTTGTTCTGTGCTTATAAAAGCTGTTATCAGCCGCATAGCAGAGTATCGAAGCAAGTGGAATCAGCAGGAAATTGAATGAAGGCGCGCGATCCGTGAATGTGTGCCGCCTGTAATAGCTTCCTGGTTGCTGACTTGCTCGTAATAAAACTTCGCTATTAAGATAGATAGCTATTATTTTTGCAAGTCTCGTACCCAACTCATTACTTTAGTGTTTTTGCAAAGATAACAGTGCGAGCGTTTTGTTTATGGCACTTTATTTAGCTGTCTATGTATATCAAAATCATGACTAGTTTTTTTGACAAATAGCAGTATTTCTAGTATAGTATTATATTATTTGTGACAGTAATAATGTTAATAAAATTTTGTTATAAAAGAGAAAGGTAAGGTAGTTTTATTATTTTTCCAAGAAATTACAGACTTCCACAACTGCCCAAATAAAATCGAGTGTGTTACATATTTTCAACATGTGTATACAAATGTAATTGTACCTTACGAGTATGTTATTTGACTTTATGTAAACGGCTGAAGTAACTTTACATACATATGAATAAATTTTACTAGTGCGTAATACATTTCACTAAAGTAATAACCTACCTTTTAAATGCGTATGACAAGAATTTTAGAGCTAGTTGTTGCTAATTGTATGCGTGGTGTCCTATTTCCCATTTATGATGAAATTAAAAAAAAAATCTTACTTAACAATTCTTACGTTATAAAATAGACTTACGTTCAAAATTTCAGCTTTCTAGAATTATTAGTTTTGGTTAGCTGTGTGTTGATAGTCAGTCAGGATAAACGATTTTATAAGTATAGATTACTGTAGGTTACTTGACAGCTAGACGCGCCATGTTGTGTGGGAGGTTCAACATATATTATGTTATTTTTTGATACCTGTTTCAAGAACAATGTTCAACTTCATTTGTAGTTAAAAGGAAACTAATGATATCTATCAATTTTAGCCCGCATATCGTTATTTTAAAGGTATTCTCGTATGTACAACGAAATCTTATCACTTTTATACTAGATCATTTATTTTTTATTGATTGTTTACAATGATTATAACATAAAACTGAATACCGACTGTTACCATAGTGGCTCCTCTGGGCAGCATTCATCACTTTCCAAATAACAGTAATCCCTTTGTGATCCACGCTCGCCTTTCCAGGCCACGACCTCGTATAAATCATAGAGTAATCTCACTAAATAGAGTAACCGGCGGATAAAATAAACAGTAAGACGAGACGTTGCGTAACCGTTGACTCACGGAGCGGAGATGGGGCTCATCAGGCCGTAACCTGACGAATGTGAAGCGACGATTACGACGGACGTTGCGTCGCAACTCACGGTACACAAATACCTGACCGTGAAAAATTATAAAAGGGCGCACTTTTATAATTTTACGGCTTCGTTTTATAACAGTGGCGTAGGTTTGGAAGCGGTTTTGATTTACACAGTAGAAAGTTTTTTTTTGCAGAGTTTACTATATCTGAGTACTTTTGTTACTTGAGGCTTTGTATGGTTTTTATGATTTTTTACTAATTAATAGTTTTTTTTATGTATTCATACAAGATGAAGGATAGAATAGAAAGTACATCCTAAACACGGAGAATTCAACTTTTGTTGAAAAACAATAACAACAAGTTTTTATACATTTCCGCTGATATTGATTTCCGAAATAAACGTTAAAATAAATAAAAGAATATGATTTAAAAGTCCCTAGAAACGAGTTTTTTTTTAATAAAGTGTTTTGATTGAGTATTATGTTTACCATTCTATTTCATTGTTACTGTTCGCTAAAAGCATTTCAGAATTGAGGCAACAGATATGGGTACCAATTGTGCTAATACAAATGTATGTTTCAATATATCTACTGTCTTTACGTTTTACGCACTTGAAGTTATTTGAGCGATAAATATTTTTAACAAATGAATAATGCTTTGTAAGTTATAATACAATACAATAATTGACCATTGTTTGCTTGAATACAGTTATTTTGTTGTAACTGTAAATTTCATTCCTTTTTATATAACCAATTGTACAAACAAGTTGGTAGAATTGACCCTGAATGCTCGAATAGCGTTAGCAAGCAGGCTGACGGTGCTATAGGTCTGTGTTATAGATGTAGGTAGGTATTGTAGGGGGAGAAGTGGAGAGTGGGACGGGTTCAACGCACCGGATACGTCTGTCGCCGGGCATGAGTCGTATGCATGCGGCCATGCAAGCACAGGTGTGAGAGACCGTTTCACTGTGTGCGTTGTAACATTGACATAAATACTAGTGCATTCGTGTGCATACTGCACCTATTATTATGTATGAGTACACCATGTATATTTAATTCTGCATGTGTACGTGTGTAGTGAGTTATTGCTACACTTAATGCAGTACGTGAATAGGCACTAGTAATGATTTGTAGGTGTTTGATAATGTAGACCATGTTTACGTGTGATACGAGGTCGTAAAACGATTGCGGTTTAATCGCACTACGTATATGTAAGCATGCATTTATTGGAATTGTGTCAAACAGGATTTTGATTTATCTTTATTTGAGTTTTTTTTTTTTTTTAATAGAGATAGTTTTTTGCTGGGGAAGCAAAAGAGGCTTGTTTGAATCGAATCATTTGGCGTTCCATTGTTTCTGCCTACTATAATGAGAGACAGACGTGATAAATATGTATATATGTGTGGATTTCATAAGTAGGAAAATCAATGAAATATAGCTATTCTAGATAACGTGTCAAGATGAAGTATACTATTCTAGGTTTTCTGTTAATTAGGAACACACAACTGTGGAAATCGCATCCCATTTGGGGCAGTGGTTTTTGCATGATGCTAGAACAAACATACAGACAAACACATAGACAACATTTCTAAACAGCAGTAAACGCCATAACGGTTTTTGCTGCTTTTATTAAGATCCCTTTAATTTTCATTTGATATTTTTCATATACAGACGTCGTGTCTAGTTCCTATTTTATTATATTAGTAAGATTGTCACACAATTTTTTACACTATTATAATTTAAATTTATAGGGGAGAAGGGATTGTTAGTAATGGGGAGGTTGGTCCCCATTGCTATCAATATACCCTATCAGGTCGACCTCCACGCGGTTCCCTCTGGAAACTATCGTGACTAATTTCTCGTTGAATTCATCACGATGGATTAACTGACCTGCCTTTTCACCCTCACCTATAACCTCTCACTGGTATTCCGCCAGTGTATATCTACCGATAGCGCAGGCGCGGTTACCATGCCATTTTCACCCATTAAAAAAACTTCAATTTATACAATTTCATCATTATCAAATTTCATAACAGTACACATTTTTTTTGTAGGAATGGGATGCTCGGCTCGCTGGTTCTGAAGCAGGGGTCAACGAGGTTACCCTAACTGCGCTATGTACAGAAGCGTCCGAATGGCGAACAGCGCAGGATGGTCAGCGTATACTGACCACTACCCCGTCAGTGCTGGGTGGCTGTCGAGCACAAGTCTATCGTGCTGCCGGTGCCACCCAGTGGTATACGGCTGTGATCGTCGGCATCAATGAACATACTGGTGTAAGCAGTTTTATTTCATGTATTGTTTTTCATAAAAACAAACCTACTACATTTAGTGTGGAATCAACATAGTAATACCTATTTTCGTTTAAATTAGAATCATCAAAATAGAAGAAAAATAATGTAAGAAAAAACAGTGGTACTAAGAACATTCATCTTTTTTTAAGCCGGTAAACGTCTGATTAGTTTATTGTCATTTAGTTATTGCTCGCATTCAACTTTTGCCATTAAGGCTCGTTCAAAAATAACAAAATCATAATCTCGTATCCTTGTAATTTCTGAGTCAAATAAATACCAATTAAGTGTACACTAAATATAGGACTATGAAAACTGATAACTTAAATACATATTACTCGCATCTATATATGTATAACAAGAGTCAATAAACGTATGAAATTGAATTATTCCTACATATTGATTTAAATTTGTTGTAAATAACGGAAAATCAACTTTGCGATACTAAAATAACCTGCAAGATTTTGTTCAAATGAGAGCATAAAGTTTTATGAGGCCATTGCTAGGTATTATCATATTTTCCGCTCAATTTATAGGGCTTATTAAATTTCTAAGAGTAGATAATTAACAAGTGCAGTTTAAAGCTGAAGCAACTAAGTAAGTGAGCCTTAAAACATAAGTAACTGTACAGACATTCTACGATATAATTCCCAGTCGGGAAGTTCAGGAGAGAACCAGTTTGGTTTATCGAATGCATCGGCATCCATCGTAATGATCTCAGAGAATTTATAAGGGTATATATAAAAATCCAAGCCTTGTTATGTAGAAACTGGCATCGTTGTTTATCAGTGAAATTAAACTATAATAGTGTTGCTCTTTTAAGTATTTGATATAATTCCCATTTGTATTCTACATTAAACTTCATTATATGAACTATACATATAATATCATTAAAAATACGTGTACTTTGTTTCACTGTATTTATTATAATATTTTTAATATTTATACACGCGATCAGTTTTAAAACTTCAGTACACCTGAAAATGAAGTTTACATAGTTGATAAGTCTTTGATTTCATTAATTGTGTATCAAAAGGAAAATAATATTTAAGCTATGCAGAATAAATTCATTACAATACGAGTACATCATTTCTGATCGACTATCCTTTCTTAATTTTTTTTTCACTAGTATAAATAAATGGAATCATGTTAAGGATAATAAATTATGTTACGATTATATTAATCAATTCCTTATTCCATTGGAATGATTTAATTTCATTGATTGCTCCAAATGTCGATTAAACATTCGATTGCTAATTATATCTTTAAGTCAGATGTTATCGTATTACACAGTCATTACTTTCATCTCGTTGAGTGAATGTTAAACACAACATTGTATCAATAATGCTTAAGTTGTAGCCACCCAGAGGTGTGAGGTATCCCCCCATTTCCCGACGTTTCACCCCTTCGCAAACTTCTCTAAACAAACTTTGTTGTTTTGCGTTATTGAAACAGTTTATTGTTTTTCTTTCATCTTCTCCTTTGAGGACGAGTTGTTTCGATGTTTCTTGTTCGTTCTGAAACGTTAAAATAAAACATTCAACTGTAAAATGGTTTATAAAATATTTTGACATGGCATTTGTTAGCTATATTATTGTCTGTGACAATTTTATTTGTAGTTCATTGGTTCTTGTTTACTTTGACAAGCTTTCTATTAGTAATTTGGTCATGAAACAAAACGAAAAAAATATCTTTATCTACTTACTTTACTATTTCTTATATTAATCATATCGCAAACAAATTGTAAACTACAATAATTTCAATTACTCATCAAACTTCTAAGACCTTCACCGTCAGAGTTCCTGAGTGCTTCAATCTATCTGGAACTTTACTAAGTAATTACAGTTAAAAACTTGAGACGTTAAACAAATTTATACTGCGAATTAGCGAGTGGAAAACTTGGTGAGGTTCGTATTGCCGGCGTCCGAGACGTCAAAGTTTTGAGTAACCCCCTGTTCGCCTCCCTTTCTTGGTATTGCCAACTTTCTTTAAGCTTCCTCTTTGTTCCTCATAAGTTTGTTCGCAATTTAGTCTTTTGGTGCGACATGTTTATAGAGTACGTCAAAGAGTAAGTTGTTGATCGTGTCTTATGAACTATATTTTTTTTTATACGGATGTAACTTGCCTCATTAAAATTTTAGCTTGTTTCGTTTCTTTTTTAGCATGGAATGTGTTTGCTACAGATTACGTAATAAGTAATTACGTATTTACATATTTATCGCCTGAATGTTCAATTGTCTTAGACTTGTTAACACATCCATTGTTTGCTGATTCTAGTAGTGTGGTTATAACTTGTCAGATAAAATAAATTAGCAAAGTAACAGGATAAGAGAATTTGCGTAATGTACCTAATTTAAAATAGTATTAGTTTTATTTTAACTTTATTGATCAGTATAGGTATACTAAATGTAATATAATCTAATTCTGATAGATATCCGCAATAACTTTTGTGTGTGTTTTTATGCAAGTTATACAAAACAGACACGTCTCTGTTTATGGTATATGCTAAACAGCGATCGTGAGAAAGTATAGATGAGAATTTTAGGAATTTTGTTTACTCATTCAATATAAAACACCTGCCGAAAATGTTATTTGGTTATAAAGAATACAGTTATTCTTTGTAAATTCTTGTTGTTCGTTTAAGACATATTTGTTGTTATAATTATAATGTAACAACGTTTTATTGAGAGGAAGGGAGGAAAGTATACTTACGTTTGTAAGACAGACGAGGAAATTATCTATAGTCGAGACTCGAGAGCATAGATTAAAGAAAAGATGGATGATTTGTGCAAAAAAGTATAGAAATAATATAAGAAAGAAATGTGACGTCATATTCCAGGTCCGTTTTGATTTTTCGTTTGCCTGAAACAGTCTAGGATGAAAACTTCATGTGTTGTAAGAAGTCAGTGGATGCGAATGTTTCAGCATTGTACCTTATTAACGGCTAAAATTATATATATAAAAATTAAAAAATGTAATTATGTTATTCTACACTAGCTTTTGCCCGCAAATTCATATGCATAGATTTTAGAAGTACGTAACAATTTGTCAATGGTGTAAATATCACAGTAATAGGTTGACTTCCTTATCTAATCATAATGTTATTATTAAGATAAAATAGTCTTCTTTTTTATTGTATAAGTCTAATAATAAAACCATAAAATAAAGATATTAAGAATAAAATCTTAGGATAGTTACCATTATGTGTCATAAAAAAAGCATTTATTGAAAATGTTTTTCCCCAGGAATTGACGGTGACAGATGACACAGTTCTGGAGGAACATAGCGAAGACCCTTCTCTAGTTCAGATGAGACTCCTCGGCGATGGAGGTAATTACAATTATCATATCATCATATCAGCATTTAACTGTTCACTGCTGGACATAAGTCCCCCTTTAGAGGGTTTTGCCAGTAATTGCCACACTTGGCAGGCGGATTGGCAACCGCAGTTAGGCTTAGGAGATGTTTTAAGAGGGACGCTGCTACCCGTCCCTCGCCCTCCCTTAGTCGCCTCTTACGACACCCTCGGGAAAGTAAGGAGTGGCCTATTTTATACCAGGACCACACGGCTATAATCATTAGTCTATTATAATTATTGTAAGTCTATTGTAATGTATTATTAATTCATTAGAATTTTTTTTATTCAGTTAATATCTTGGTATATGTAAAATATATATCTTGGTAGTTTATATCTTGATTTTGTTCTAAAGCATCAGTGCGATCTTTAACACGACGATTTGAGTTTACATTGTATTCCAGTGATTTTAATTTTTATTAATATAAGTGACAATTATCATTTAACATTACACATTAGCATTTAAGGTTCTGTAAAGTTCTGGGAATTCCAAAGTAATAAAAAAAGTATTGCTGGGAATAAAGAATATTAAGATAAAAGAGGTAATAACGTAATTTTTTTAAACTAGTATGTATGTAACATTTTATGTAGGTATACTCATATTAATTATATACATTCAAAACACACTTTCTACATCCTTAGATCTAAAATTTAATTTAATTTCTGTGTTTATTATGTTAGCAAAGTTATCGCTTCTGAAACATGATATTATTACATCAGTATAAAGCTTTTCAAGGTTTTTCCTTTACACCGATTTAATATTACAAGAGAAAGTTAAAATTCACATAATTTTCTTCATACTAGAATAAATATTAAATTTAATGTACTTCTAAGATGTTAAATTTAATAAACTTGCCGTGAGAGAGCTTTGTTGATATAACACCAGATGTGTCATTAGTTTAAGATAACCTATTTAATAAGTAAGTGAAATTTTTATAAATAAGTAAACAAACAAATTAAAAATTTATCTATAGTGGGTTGAAACACTTAACAGGTTTCCGTAGACCATAACATTGTTATACATAAAAAAATTATTTATTTATAGAAAATTATCCTTCTAATGTTATAAATTTGGATGTAAGTTCCATCAGGTTCCATCCACTTTCCATCAGGTAAACCGTCAGCTGTTTTTTTTTAAAAAGTTTCTTTGTTTTATAATATAGGCTGTTTTAAATACAGAATCGGAATTTAACGCGATGTAAAAGCCTTTAAATAAAGTAAATAGTACCTACATACCTAAAATTAACTAATATAGGCTTAGTCTTATGTCGCTCAATCAATGTACCCTGGTTACGCGGACCAATATCTAGTACTTACCTAAATGATATAACTTCAGCAGATATTAAAACTAGCGACGTGTCCGGCATCGCATTTTTTTTTAAGTTAAATACACCCTATGACTTGCTAATAATGTAACTTTCAATAGGTGAAAAATTGTTAATATCCGTTTATTATTTTCTTAATTTATGCATCCCAAACAAAAGAATCAACTCTTTCTTTTTGTAATATTAATTTAGACATATTAATATTTTATAAAGGATTTTATATGGACATGTGGTTAGTTTAATATAAGCCTAGGGATTAAACAAAGCGGTTTGATTAATTGCGATAACGTAGTGAACAATGCACGCTGGTTATGTAAGTACAGCTATCTTGGATCTTCTGCGTTGTAATGTAGCTTGTAACTATAGGCACACATATGTAATATACATATAACTATTGTAACAATAGATAAATAGTATTTAACTACCATCTGTTACGATTTTTAGGCTAATTGATAATATAATTAGCTGAAGCTGATGAATGTAAAATCGCCTTGCAATATCCAAGTACCAATACAGTATATTATCCCTCCTTTAATTTACTCAGTACATTATCGGACCGTTATAAACTTTTGTTGGGCATAAATTAATAATCTAGTGAGAAAACAGAAAAAAAACTCGAAAAAAAAACTTTACCATAGCCAAACCGCTTGGCCATCGCAGTGTTAATTCACTATTTTTTTTTATATAAATTGCCCACAAATGAGATGTTGATGACACGGATCTACTTCCAAACGAGGAAGATATAGCCTATTCAAGGTTTTGCTCCTTAAACCTTAAAAACACAAACCGTAAAAAACAATTCAATTGTGACACAAGACTGTTTATAAACATTTTTAAAAACAAGCTTTTGTAATGTAATCCGCTATTGTGTGGCTGTTTGTAAGATAATTATCAAAACAAATTTAGAATAGGTAAAGAAATCCCGTCGTAGTCATAAGTCAAAGCAAAATGAGAACCTCAAAATTTTGAAGATGTTTAAAAATGTATGTTAATGCATGACTCCCATAAATACATTAATACTTTTTATAATGATATATTTTGATGCAGATCAATATTACTTGAACATACAAACACCCGTGTTATTCCCATTTTAATTTTGTCACATTTGAAAAAAACTTTTTTTTAAACTTTAATTACTACTAAGGTCACAGAATATTGACTCAGTTTCACAATTTCTTTATGTTAAGGCATCTGTTACTAATCGACTCGATGCTCATATCGCTTGCTGCTCACGCCACATTATTGTATTACACAATTACATATAATGTAACATACATAATCCTGAGAGCGGATAACAACCCCTCACGTATAATTGGATTGAAGCCGTACGACTTCATATCATTATGAAGAATGCCTTTAGGCGCTTTGAAGTATGTGTACATATAAATAAATATTTGTATCCTTTATGGGCTTAATTGAATAATATCGATATACATTTTATATCCCAAATACTTTTATAAATATTATTGTACAGGATGTAATTTAAATTATTATTGATTCTTTTATAGAGTGTTCAACAAATGAATCTGGACTTCTGGACTTTTTCTAAAAAAATATATATGTCAAAAAACTACAAAAAAATAATGCCCTTATATTGTGGGTATAGATTTTTATCGTCATTTTTCGGTTCATGTTTATATGTAAAAAAATATTTACTTTCACAAGTAGAACATCCATAAAGGTCATTTTTGTACCTCGTTGCTAATTATATAATAATAATAATAAAGATTGAATTCCACTAGATAAAACCGACTTCAATTATGACAAAACCAGTTATTTTGATTTTAAAATTATACTATTGAATTCATTTTGATAAAATTACTATGGGACTAACCTATAACTATCCATTCAGATAAAAATGAACTTTTTATATAATAATATAGTAATAATAATAAAGATTGAATCCCACTAGATAAAACCGACTTCAATTGTGACAAAACCAGTTATTTTGATTTAAAAATTATACTATTGAATTCATTTTGATAAAATTTCTATGGGACTAACCTATAACTATCCTTATAAAAAATTAATTTTTCAAATCGGTTTGCAACTGACGGAGTCATAAACATAAAAAAATACAACCGAATTGAGAATCTCCTTCTTTTTTAAGTCGGTTGAAAACAAAAACGTTATGCCAATTTTTTTTGCAATTTATTAATAAAATATGATCGTTACAGGTAAACTGTACTATTATGTATTGTTATTTATATTATGAATTCCTTATTATTGTTGCTTCACTAAATAAGTAATTGTTTGTTTTACATTACAGTTATCGAATCAATAATGAGGGGAGAGGTGGTGGGCGTAATGCCGAGGAGATCACGTTCGAATCTTCAGGTGAGTCTAATGAATAATGATCAATTGTTTATCTTCGATTTGTATGGAGAAATAATATTCTATTTTACTCCCACACGGTGTTTCTAAAAAGTTTAAAAGTATGTTTCACACGTGTCGTTCGCGCGGAGAATTTTTGTATTTTTTCATGGGAATAAAACATTTTGCTGCGGTAAAAGTAAACTATATGTTGGCTCAGATACTATGTTATTGATAGTTTTAATTTTACCAAAATCCATCCAGTAATGTTTCCGTGAAACGTGTACAGCTCGTGTATATTTGACTTATTTATATTTCTATTATTTTCTATCGTTGGTTGTTTCGATTTCGAGGTTACGAGTATGGCAGTGAAATTACCGATAGGATATGGAACATAACACTTTAGTCCTCAGTAATATCTACATATGAGGAACACTAGGGATAGCATAGTGTATTCAGTGTTCTTCATGTCTCTAAGCGACGGTTACCACTTTCTATCAAGTGGGCGGTCAGCTTGTTTGCTATTCCAAGATAGGTATATAAAAAAATTAAATGTTGCTATTTTCTTAGTATTTCAAAACTCCAATATCAGTAATGAAATATCAGCAATTGCAAATGTAAATCTATACTAAATATTAGTGTATAAAGTGGAAAGATTTGATTATTTGTTTGTAATGCTTTAAACTAAAAAGTCAAAAACACATTATCAATTTTTAACAGAAAGTACCTAGTGAGTAACAAAGGCTATATATTGTTTTCAAAACAATTAGAGATCCGTACAAAAATTACAATAACATAAAGTATTTAAACGTCGTTTGCCATTAATGTAATGTACTAATATAAAATATTAATTTGTCTTTTTATCTATCTACTCGTACGAAGCCGGAACGGATCGCTAGTACATTATAAAGTTGTCTATATACCAGTTTTGTTTGTCTATCTGTCCGCTATTTCTGTATGACGCGACTGTCGTCGGCGCCTGGTGACGCATGCTCTGAGTTTATCCTGAACCCTGCGCCAGGTTCAGCTAAATCTGATCCCAATGACTAATAGGTTTCTTTATCTTAGCACCTGTTGATAATATCAATTATAGTTAAATTACAATATAAATTTTACATTTCTTATCTTTAAGGGTTCCAAAATCTTTAGTATTTTTTATGTCAAATTATTTTTACAGTGTTGAAAGTAAATAAATATATATAAGAATTTCGAAGACATGTAAATATATACATTAGTATAAAACATAAATGATTTGAGCAATATTCTTAATTTAAAGTAATTTATTTAAATTTAGAAAACTATTTTAGTAATATTTCTATATTCAAAATAATTATTTAAATATGCTTTAACGTATTTTTTTCATATTTAAACAAAAGTGTATGAGAGTTGTTAATATAAGAATCAAATGTGTCAAGAATATTACTCAAATCATTTAGTTCTAAAGATAGATAAATCAAATAATTTAAACTAAAAATAATTATTTGTTTGTAAGTATTACAAAAGTATTATAAACAGAAGAAACTTGCTCAATTTCGTAATCTTTATTTTATTGTTATTAAAATACTAAATATTTCAAAACATTAGAAGTAATTTTAACAGTCGATAGATTTGTAAATGACTATGTAATGTACAGTAAGTAACAATATGTGTTACGAGTATTATCAAATTTAATGAAATAAAATTGAGTTACGGTTATGTCTGTTACTTTATGACGTCGTAATAACTCATTTAAAGAAATTTTACTTACACTGATGTTTAAGTAGGAGGACGAAGGTTACTTTATATCCCGGTATATCAATATAGAAAATTTTGTATTATATAAATCAGAAAAAATCTTAAAACTTACCATGTTACCGTCCATGGAATGGACAATGCATCCTTTTATCTTAAGCTTCCTGTAGGTAAAACGAGTTACCGCTTCAACGGGTGGGAGTTCTAAACGGTCGACTTTCTGGACCACTGAACTCATTTGAATATTGGTATAGAAACAGCTATGTACCAAGAAGTTAGTTTGGATCCACGGGCATTGTTTTAAACTAATGTTAATCGGGGGATGTTTGAGTTGGACGCAAGTGGAACACTCCGTTTGCATATACGTTGGCTTTAAAACTTTCCGTGAATTTCTAATTTAGATCAACCGCTGAAGTAACAAGTGTAGGAAATAATTAGCTTTTAGTTTTAGCCTGTTTAAGCAGAGATGCTTTTATGATTGCAATCTTGTAATTATTGTGTATATATATATTCTAAACTGTATGCACAATGAAACCATAGAACAAGATTGTGTTTTAAAATAATGTCGTTTCTTTTGAAAGGGGTTTCAATTTAAAAAGACATACATTTTAGCCCTTGTGTCCTTTAAACAGGAGATATAAAGAATAGCAATAATGAACAATAGCAAAGTAACAATATATTTTTGTATTGATTTCGGTGCATTCACCCTCAGTCTAAACAAAATTGGAATTGCCGTTTAAACAAATAACTTAGAGAGCCGTGTTTACATAGAATAATAAAAGATAACATTACTACCTACAATTTATGCAAAAAAAAAAAAAATAATCCTTTTATATTTTAAAACAGAAAAATATTCTTTAAGAATAAAATGGATCCTTGAGTCACGATTGCCGAGGGCGAGTTTGTAAATATCTTGTTACAGTCACCTACATTGTACCTTGATACAATATTATAACCGGTTACGAAATCTTTACAAATTATTAAAACTGTCATTGTGACGGATTGCTTATGTATTTACACACCTATTATTGTATTTTATAGTAGTTATGACAAAGTCATATTAAATTATTTATTTGAATAACGTTTACTTGAACACTGTCGACTCCGTTGATTACCTTAATGGTTGTTTTTATGAGTAATTTTATTAAGAATTAACTTTTATGAATAAATCCCAAAAAACTTTTTAATTTACTTTTATCTTTATTACTCAAATGGATTAAGAGATTAGAACTTTATTTCTTTGTAAAAGTTGAGCAGAGAGCATTTCATGTAGCGACAGTGATGTCTTTTACATTTTCTTTAAAACGACAGTATTGCGTGATACTGACATTGAATTAGAGATTCCATTATCTTTTTTACCAATATTCTATTGTTCATAAAATACTATGTATTATATAAATAAATAAACGCACTTTGTGTTGTTTCTTATTAAGATAAACATTTTGTTCCTAATGACACTAATAGTCTATTCCTTAATAGAACTCAACAGTGAACCTTATAAAATTAGTCAAGTCCATTAGATATCTACCAGAAGGTAGTGCTACATGTCTTTACATTTTGAATTAGCCTGTATAACAAATTATTCCCTGAAAATTTGGTTAACTTTTTACATCAGGTAAATTTTATAAGTTTTGCTGTTTACAACAAAAAAAACTAGAATTTTATATCATAACATTTGGTATAGATGACAAAGCAATCATTTAATACTATTAAAGTAATACTTAAATACAAAAGAATAGTAACAAAGGAACAATGACGTCTACCTAAAACATAGACAAAGAGAGTACACTATTGTGTGTTGGCTTATGTCAGCCCCAGGGTGAGGCAGGATATGTCCATTTATGTAAGAACTCTGAATATTTTCTATTGGAGGTTATAATGTTAGATAGACAGTATGCCACAGTTTGTAACCAAGTTAATTAGATCTGTAACCCTTCTTAGTTGTAGTTCTATCTTATCTAGATACAAACTGGTCTTGGATTCATTACACAAGCTTTACAGTTCCTTTGTGATCTATCTATACAGTAATTTTTATTTATTATTTTCATTACATAAATGCGCGTTTTATTAAATCGAGAACTTGTAGGTGCTTTGTTTACTTCGAAATTTATTTGTTCAAATATTGTATTGTAAATTTAATGGCAATTGAACAAATGTATGCAATTTTATATCTTTGTTGCTATTTATTATATCAAATTACTTGTATGCTTGTATTTTTTTTTATTAGTTATGTGTACAAATTAATTTCGATATCACACCGTTTATAATTTAATATATTTTTTAATAATTTATTGCTGAGTAAGCTTTGTAATAATGTTACTTATATATGCATACTACTCTTTAAAGGGTATAAATAAATTTGCTATAATAAATGAATTGAAATAATATAATTATAAATTTAACACTCATTACTACTTTAGATTTATTACAACGAAATTCTAATATTATTCAATAAAATATAAAAAAAAAATAATTTAAACAAGAAGATATATAAAAAGACATGAACTGCAATGGACTGGACTTCCTTTCAAGACTAATTAAAAAAAACAGTAGGTACGAATGTTATGATTACGGAATGATCTATTGCCTTGTTGGTAAATTTGTCACGTCCTACCGCCGTGAAATGGCTCGTACTTATACTGTATGCGAGGAATACACTCCAATAATTTAGAACTGACCATGTTTGTTACACCAATCTAAACATGCTTACTCGTAAATCAATTTAGCCTTGCACATTACGACTGCACGGGTTTGCTCTGTAAATGATCTTAAATTATCTTTATTACATGCTCAAAAACATTTAGTGAAAGGAATAACGTTTCCTTCCTATCGTAATATGTTATTAATGTTTTTACGTGTAACTAAGTATATTTTATTTTCTTATTTTATATTTACGTATTTAAATAATATCGTTTTCAATGTTTCAATTACATTTCAGTGTAATTAGAAATAGTGAATTTTTAAATTATAAAGTATCACGACATGACCGAAGTACTACTAGATTATTCTAATGGTTTAAATATCTATATCGGATATTTTTTAGTTTACATCCCCCAAACTTGATATTAAGATATAATCTTTCACTTTTTGATCTCAAATATATAGCGACCTACATACCAATATTCATAAAAACGTTTATAAACGCTACAATAATTTTAAAGCAGGCATTCCAGAACATAGCTTGGTAATAATTTTTTTTGTATATTTATTCCATCCACGACAACAGACGGCCTAAAACAATGGTGTATTTGCATAGTCGTTGGAATCAAGTTTGAAATTCGTAAAGGCGCATT